ATATCTGTTACGTATTGTTATACGTTCCCTACTAAATTTGGTTATATTAGTATTCGCGCCATAAACTCCTGAATTGGTAATTTCATTAAATATTTATCTTCCCTTGCATATACTGGGATTACTCGTGTGATCGTCGCTTGCTAATACCCATCATAGTACCCGGGAAAGTCTCCGGACACCTACCGATTTTGCACCTACTTAGTTAGTGTTAGGGTTAGAGTTTTTTATGATTGGTTAATTTATATTTGGTAGGTGCAAAAATCACGTGTTGGTAGGTGTCCGGAGACTCTCCCATAATACCCTAGACATGATCAGAACATGTGCCGTTGATTATTTTTTATGAATTTCAATTGGCTGTATATGTGAATATTTAAAAACTTCTAGCGATGGTTTTTCAGTGACTGCTGGGTCAAATTCGATAAAATCTTTTATAAACTTGTAGAATGAAAATAAAAAAAATTATTGAATTTTGTCCGAAAAATTTTTAAACGGGTCACAATCATATTTTTTAAACTTCAAACAATAATTTACGATAACTACCGAACTAAATTCAATGAACTTTTTATTATAATTCTACATGTTTGTAGAATTAAAATAAAAAAATTCATTTAATTCTATTAGGTGATTGTCAAGATAATGGGCTAGATGCTGGAAAAAGGGACGAAATTGACAATTTTTACAAAATAAATTTTTTACATAAATCGATTTAGCATAAGATTAGGAACTTTATTTCATTTAAGACACAAAAGTAGTTGTATTAATAAAAATTTTGTAACTGTATAATCTATTATAAATTTTATAACATAAAAATTGATTTCCGAAAATCTTTTTTTGTCAATTTAGTTCCTTTTCTTTGCACCCAGCCCGTATCCTCATTCGAAATTTAAACCAATTCCTGCAGCTTCGATTTAATAGACGTTCTAAACCATGGCTCATTTTTAAGTGAAGATATCTTGACAGTCACCTGATGGAATTCGATGAAGAAATTTTATTTTAATTCTATTGGTATATAAAATTAAAAAATTGTTTAAAGCATCGATTTAATAAACGTTCTAAACTATAACTTACTTTTAAGCGAAGATATCTCAACTGCCACCTTATGAAATTCGTTAAAAATCTTTTTATTTTAATTTTACAGTCTAAATATTAAAATAAAAATTTCCATCGAATCAATTAGGTGGTTATCGAGTTCAAAAATATTTGCTGCAGCTTCAATTTAATAGAATTTAAATGATTTCCACCTGATATGATACGATGAATGTTTTTTTTTTTATATTAATTTAACACAGTTGTAGAATTTAAGTAAAAAAAACTTCATCGAATTTCATCAAGTGGTTGTTGCGAACAGCCATACCCTAGTTATATCCCCTTTTTTTTCTAGAGCATTTTTGGGGATATAATTTAGGTATTGTGGTTTAGTCACGTGATTGTAGACCAATCAAAATTCAATTTTTTAAAATTTACCAATAACTTTTGATTCATCCGGTTTAGATGATTTGCCACCAAAATGGCTGTCTCGATGTGACAATTCCAATGAGTCCAAAATCATTCAAATCTGATCATTGAATCCCAAGAACATTAAGAATTTTATACTATTTCAGGAAGGTTAAATCAATTTTAATGCCTAAAATAGTATTAAAACCCTGAAGTTCTCTGGATCCAGTAATTAGATTTGGATTATTTTGGACTTATTGGAATCACTTCATTGAGATGGTCATTTTGGTGGTAAAATCATCCAAGCCGGTTTGCTGTATAAAAAGCTATCAATTGGTTAAACATTCATTTATTATTATTAAATTATTTACAATAATTTGTTAACCAATAGTTCATTTGCATAACAAAATTGGGTTATATCTTAGGTATTTTATATATTATTTATATATTTTGACCGTAGCTATTATTGTGGATAGGGATATAACTAAAAATTAATATAAATCAAGTAAAATTACCATAGGAAATTTATTCTGCTAAAAAAACGGAGATATAACTCGGGTTGGGATATAACTAAATGATGACTGCACTTTAACAAGAAATGTATTGCTAAGACTTTTTTTTATCTTACACTTAGAAATTTGTTTGTTATATTGTTTAAACTCTGTAAATTACATAAAAAAAGAATCTAGTATTGTAATTCACCAAATACAATCACAAAGACCGAAATTAACAATGTAAACGGCCTACGACAAAACTAAAGACGTCCGAACAAGTTAAAATTCTTGATTAATAAAAAGAATAAAATATAATATTAAAATTAAAAGCTTTTCTGAATATGTTTCAATTATTGTTGACAAGCAACTTATTTAAAAGTAACCGACACCCAAACTTACATTATCATTTATGTTTTTTAAATTGAAATTCAATAGCATTTAAAATTGAATGTTAATGATCATGTTTTTTATTGCACTCAATGCATACTCGGGATCTTTATATTGAGCTTGCCATGAGATAAGTACTCTGTTCATCGAAAGCGTTTTTGCAGATGCAATTACTAAATCTGAATTGATTATAGTATACGATTAACTTAAACATTGAAATGATCCCTGTTCTATTTAGATACAGTATTCATTCGCATATAGAAAATTCGTATATGAGATCTGGTTTTTTATAGAATTTATCGATCCAAAGAAAATTGCTGATGACGTGTTTAAATTAAAATAGTGGGATGATGGTTGCTCTTAAAAGTGTAAAAGCTAAAATAAATCAGAAAGAGGCATGCTTTATTAATTAATTGATTATAAATAATTTTTCTATAAAATCTCTTAAATTTATATGTTTTATTTTCATAGCTCCTGCTTTTGCGAAAAGTCCAATATAATTAGTTTTTACGGTATAATTAAAGGTGTGTTCAAGTATGAATGATATACTGCATAAATTTTTTAATTATAATTGAGATTAAACGGTTTATTAGGCAAATCCATCTAACGAGTGCTATAATATGATTTTAGAGTTTGCTAATGATGGTAATTTGCGTGAATATTTGAATGTCAATTTTTCAAGATTACAATTGATTGATAAACTCCATATGTTCAAGGAAATAGCACAAGGTCTTACTTTCTTGCATTTTAACAATATTGTTCATCATGATCTAGTGAGCTCTGCATTCTAATTTATTTTATTCTTTAATGCATTCATCTGTGTATTTCTGAACGTCGAATTCTTTTTTTATAGCCAAAGTTCACTAAACATGGTAAAGGGATTTAATCATATCACAATCATCGGATCTTGCCACCCAGTGAACTTTGTAAAATTGCAAAAGAGGAACTTATTGGATATACACATTCTGTATGTTCGTTAATATTATACAGTATTGTTTTAGAGCAATCTAAAAATATTTTAGTTCATGAAGGAAAAATGCGGATTACAGATTTCGGTCTATCTAAACAAACTAATGATGCATTCAATAATTCCAACTTTGTGTGTTTATGGAATGCCTGCATACATTGAGTCGCAATATTTTAAAGATCATTTGTATAAATTAAGTAAGAAATCTGACATATACAGTCTGGGTGTTATTCTTTGGGAAATCTCTAGTGGACGCACCATTCCGATCATTTACATCAAAGTAGCAATTGCCATTCATATTTTTCAAGGCAAGAGAGAGTAGCCTATAGATGATACACCACAAGCATTTGTAAACAGTACACAGAATGTCGAGATGAAAATCCTGACAACCGGCTGGAAGCAAAGTCCGTTCTTAAAACCTTAAATCAGCTTGTTTTTAATATCTCTAATCAAGAGCATCGTATAAATACCAATAATCATTCTGTTAATGATGAAATTAAATCATCGATCCTTGCACAGGTTGAGCGAAGACGAATCGGACAGGACACCAATCAGCATCACGTAATCCCGTCCCGATATGAAACTGATTTGAACCAGATATTTTGCGCAAATAGGAGGAGACCTTTAAGATACAAATCGGGTTCATATAGACGTTCAATACATATCGGAATGCCGATAGCTATGTAGGTAAATCGAAAAAGCTATAAGACAAGCTTCATCGATTTACCTATAGAGCTAACGACATTCCGATATGTATTGAACGCCTATATGAACCCGGTTTGTATCTTAAAGGTCTCTTATTTGTGCTAAATATCAGTATCAAATCAGTTTCATATTGGAATTACGTGATGCCGATTGGTGTCCGATTTGCCTTCATTTGGCCTGTGTTGTTAGACCGGAATAATCTGTGCAGTTAATATAATATATATTTTGGAAGCGGGCCAGGAAACCGTCGTTCAGTACTTTCTAACAGATTTTGCAATTTTTGATATAGTAAAAACGTCAGCTAAAGTTTGCTGGATTTTTTTTTCTTAATAATGTAAGTAACATTAATACATATTATACAAAAATTAAGACAATTTTCCTTACGAATATTAAAAAGCTATATACTGTAAAAGTTAAACAATAAAGAATTTTAACAGATAAAAACTAGGTCTCTTTTCGTAGACTTAAAGACAATAATAAAGCAATTTAATGTGCCTGAATTCTTTTATTTTATAAATATAAAATTATTAAGATTTTTTCGTAAAACTTTATTTTGATTTTCTTTTAAATTTATAAGTTTGATAAATAAGACCAGTTATATTCAATCTGTCTATTTTAAAGTTTATAAAAAATTCTTTAAACAAATGTACCTTTTCGTATAGCCTACCTTAAGTGACATTTTTAACAAGAAAAAAAAAGAATTTCTTTTTAACCTAAGTAACAAAGAGGTTTACTTTTAAAAAGCTTAATTCTGCATGCTTTTGAAATTATCGTAGTAATTGTCTGTACCAGTGTTTCGGGCGAAACTATTTTCCAAATCCAAACGTTTCGCCCAGAGGAATTTTAGTTTCGCCCTATAAGTCCGAAACCCTCCGAAACTAGTTTCGCCCGATTTGGCCTGCAAATGATCTGCAAAATCGGGTTTCGCCCGAAACACTGGTCTGTACACATTAACACATAATCTACAATTTACAAATTTAAAAAAAATAGAACCTACAAGTATAGGGCGGTTGTTAAGACAAATGATAATTTTCTATGAATGCAAAATTAAGAGGAATAGTTTCAACATCTTCAATAATGTAACTTAACCTCCAAAAACCATAACTCTTTGTAGTTATTCTCTGACGAGTTGAACCAGTATAGTTGTGTTGTCCCGGTAGGAAACATAGGGTTACAATTATATCATACACAGGCCATGCCTCAGATAAATCTAATTTTAATTTTCCTGAATGAATTACGGCTATATACAGTATATATATATCGTACATATTATAAGATATTATAAATATTGTATACAGTATAAAATTATTTTTACAGGTTTTAACTAATTTCATACAAACTCTAACTTACGTATCAAGAAGATATAAGTTGATTAATAAACACTTATATATGGTTACCTTCTTGATGTATATATTAGAGTATATACGAAAATTGAAACCTGTAAACAAAAAAAAAAAAAATACAAACAAAAAGACTAACCCATAACGAGATTTGAATCACTAGTGTAGATATCAGTTCCCCACGCTTTTTTTCCCCTTGTATTGGTGCTTGTAAGCCATTGTGACCCTATAAAGACTTTGATAACATCTCCAATTTCACAATTGGGAATATTCGGATAAGTAAAATCATAGTCAGCAGAAGTGTCACTTGGTGCTACAGTAGTAAAGATTATTCGAGGAGGTAAAATAGTTGAAGTAATAGCCTTATTTGGAGTCATGGATTTTGTTAAAATATCTTTCCACAATTTAGGTTCAAGGATTCTCTGATATGGAAATACTTTTTCCAAAATATCTTCTTTAGAAATTTGAAAGTATCGTATACAAGGTAGACAATTTTTAAGTGTAGTTTTTAAAGTTAAAAAATTTGTATCAGACCATTGCTCAGGATTAGAACTAAGGTTAGAATTTTGTGCGATCCCCCATTTAATGACCTGATCCCAAATTTTTCCTTCATCCATTTGCAAATTATCAAGCATTAAGAAGGAAATCAATGCATTTTCTTGAATATTTGTGAAAATTTCAGAATCAAAAAGAATACTTGGATGCTTGGCGATAATATCATAACAAAATTTTTGTAAAATTTTAAAACTATCGTTTTCAAAACTTAATTTATAAGTTTGAACAATATTTCGACGCATCCATGAAGCATGATATTCAACCAAACGAGTTTGCGAAGCATTAACTAATTCTTCAAGACCGAATTCATTAGCAGTGGCTATGATATTAAGGATTGTAAATGCATCAACTTTGTCAAATAAAACGATACCACTATAAATGTATCTGTTTGATTTAAAAAAAGATAACGATTAAATTTATATTTGATAATATTTGGTAATTACAAAATTTAAAATATGACTATAATGGCTCACTTTATTATAGCTTCAAAAACATTAACAGAAACATGTGATATACTGATTTTTTTGACATTATATTTCCTATAATTTGTTGTAATTAATTTTTCACGAAGATAAAAACATCGAGAATTCAAGATAATTGAATGTGCTTTAAATATTTTTTGATTTGGCTTCCGACCGACTTCAATTAATACATTGTGATCATCACTATTTTCAAGAAGATTTGTTAAGTCAAATGAAAGTTTTTTAAAAAATTTTATAGCCATTGGCACAATAAACGTAAGTTATAAAGTTGTGATAAAATACTGTAGATGACAAAAACATTTAATGCAAAAATTTAAAAACCTCAAATACTTATACGTACGTATACCAAAAACGTAGTGTATGGTTTACAAGAAACTAACAGGTTGTGTGCAAAATCCTGTATATTATTACATGAGATACTTGATTTTTATGGTTGGCCTTGCCGAATTTGATCAAACGTTATAGCTAATTATATATCATTGAGTTCTATAAATAAATGAGAAGGCCATCTATCAAATGTATACATCAGTGCAATTGATAGCAACATAATTACGCCGAGTATCGTCGTCATCGGTTGAATTCGCGATGCGTAGCATCAGCCACACTGCATAAAGCAGGCCGACTTTGATAACGATAAGAAGCTTAAACTGCAGGTTCTACGTGGATTATATATGAATTCACATGGGTGCGAGGGATTGGGTGATAATTTTACTTTTGGCAGAAATGGCTGCGAGTTTGCTCGTAGTGTTCGTCTTTTTACCCCTGACAAATAAAGATATCATAGTACTCCATTGCGATTCTAAATTAGGCAGCTAATTAAATTCTGACTTCATATGCCTTCTCCCACGGTGTTAGCCTATCTATATTCCCGATTAGGATTAAAGGCTAATTCTGGCTTAGAGTTTGGAACCGGTTTTATTTTCATATTTAAAACCGTTAATCGGTTTTAACTTACGTACGTACGTCAAACTATACATGGGTGCCTAAATTATTTTTGAAAAATTGTATTTTCGGCAAACATTTCGGCATTGCTAAATTTTTTAT